GGCTGCTGGATGGCTCAGTTGGTTGGAGAATCTTCCCAAACACCAAAAGACACAGGTTCGATTCCCAGTCAAGGCATATACCTGGGTTGCAGGTTTGATCCCTGGTCACGGCATGTATAGGAGGCAACTGACTGATGTTTCATTCTCCTCCTTCTATTCTCCCTAAAATCCACAAACATATTGTCAGGTGAAGATGAAAAAAAAAACCTTTTGCATTACTTAAGTCTTTCCTTGTACCAAGGCATGGACTGGTACAACACAAACTTCTGTGAGATGCAATTAGTCTGGCATCCAAACATCATGCATAGTACCTAGGTAGCAGCAGCAACTGCACCCACCCCCACTGTGGCCCTGATTATTTGTGTGTGATATTTGGAGCATCTGGAAGAGTATGAATACTGTGGGGAAGGGGAAGGAGGAGGAAACAGCATGAGTGCCTGGCTAGGAGGAGGTCAACAAAAGTTGTGCAGACCAAGCCTGACCGTGTCACTGGTTGATGCTTTTTAATAGGATTGTCTGGTAAAACCCCACAGTGGGGTCTTCACTGGTCTTAAGCTGACCCACAACCATGCTGATGATGCAGCAGATGATCTGGCGTAGCCTGGTGGTCCTGCGTGGCAATGCTGTGCTGGAGTTTCTGAAATGGAAGGCTAGACAACTTCTCCACAATGGCAGCTTTCCCCTGCAATTGTTGTTCTTGCCACGTAAGGCATGTTGTGACACTGTAAATTGTGCCTAGTTAGTTTCTGTCATTATCAAATAATTGGTAGTCACATTCAATAAAGCTGGATCCATTCTGCTCCCAAATTGGCTTGTCTCCCATTCTGGAGCATCACCCAGCCTTGCTGAGACCTTTGTGATGGCTTCTACAGTTCTAACGAGAAGGTCGTGGGCCACGCCATCTCCTGCTTCACCCCAATAGACCCCAGGCATACTGAGGCCAGGCTCCTCGAAAGCAGAAATGACCTTGATGACCTCTCACCCACTGAGCGTCAGCCTCCCCTGACTGTTCTGTGTTCAAGGGGCTGACACAATGGCAGCAGTGGCAGCGGCAATGGCAACGGCAACCTGGTGCTGTCTGTGGAGCTCAGTTTCTTTTGGAACTGGGTGGGGCATACATAAACAGGTGGTGGTTTGTATAGGTCTGAAAAGTCATGGTTTCCATCTTTGTGCTTGCTTTGAGCAGGGGGCCCACTGGAAACTCTTATGGGACTGTATCAAATTAAAAAGCTTCTGCATGGCTAAAGAAACCATCATCAAAATCAAAAGGGAACCAACTTTAAGGGAGAACATATTTGCCAATGATACACCAGATAAGAGCTTCATTTTCCAAAATATATAAAGAACTTATACGCCTCAACACCAGGAAGACAAACAACTCAATTAAAAAGTGGACAAAGACCAGAATGGACACTTCTTCAAGGAGAACATACAGATGACCCATAGACATGAAAAGATGCTCAACATCACTAATCATCAGAGAAATGCAAATTAAAACCACAATGGGACATCAGCTCACATCTGCCAGAATGGCTATCATTAATAACTCAACAAACAGCAAGTGCTGGCAAGAATGTGGAGAAAAGGGAAACCAAGTGCACTGTTGGTGGGAATGCAGACTGGTATAGCCACTGTGGAAAACAATATGGAATTTCCTCAAAAAATTAAAAATAGAATCACCTTTTGACCAGCGATTCCACTTCTGGGGATATATCCTAAGAATCCCAGGAAAAATGGAGACAACTATACTTGAACAACAATAAAAAAAAATGTGGAAAAAAAAAAGAATCCTGAAACACCAATTCAAAGGAATATAGGCACCGCTATGTTCATAGCAGCATTATTTACAGTAGCCAAGGTTTGGAAACAGCCCAAGTGCACATCAGTAGGTGAGTGGATAAAAAAGGACATTTACACAGTAGAATCCTATACAACAGTAAAAAAGAAGAAATTCTTACCTTTTGTGACAGCATGGATGGACCTGAAGACTATTATGCTAAGCGAAATAAGCCAGCCAGTGAAAGACAATACTGTATGATCTCATTTATATGTGGAATCTAATGAACAAAATAAACTGATGAGCAAAATGGAATCAGATAGAATAGATACATGGAACAGACTGTCAGGTGTAAATGGGAGGGAGAGAGGGGGCTGATTGAAAGAAGGTGAAAGGATTAGTCAAAGAACATATATACAAGACCCACAGACATGGACAACAGTGTGGGGATTGACTGTGGGAGTGAGAGATGGGCTGGGTGGAGGGCGGAAGTGGGGGAAAATTGGGACAACTGTAAAAGCATAAATGATAGCCCTGGCTGGTGTGGCTAACTTCAAATCCCTTTGAAGTGGATTGAGTGCTGGCCTGAACTACAGGGTCACTGGTTCGATTCCCAGTCATGGCACATACTTGGGTTGTGGGCCAGGACCCCTGTCGGGGGCATGTGAGAGGCAACCACACATTGATATTTCTCTTCCTCTTTCTCTCCCTCCCTTCCACTTTCTGAAAAAAAAAAATCATAAACAGTGATTTAAAAAAATGCTCTTTGTCAGGCATGTTAGAACTTTCTCAGTGTAGCTCCAGGGAGTTTCTCATCCCCAGAACATGCTGCCCTGCCTTTGGGAGTGGAGAAAGTCTCTTTATTTGTCAACAGACAGGTGAAAAGCCTCCAGGTGGGTCTCTGCCAGGGATACACAGAAGAAAATGAGATAAGCTCATACCAGCCCAGGAGGAGAGGTAAAGCTCCATCCAATGCCTCTTCTGCGCACCTCCCCATTCAGACCTGCGACAGTTCATGCAGTACCAAGTGCCACTCATGTTTGCAGCTAACAACCACCACTTTTGGGTTAGTTACCTTTTTGAATGATATTTCTGTAAGTAGCAAAACTAATAAAGATATTCTCATTTCAGTAAAAACAATACAAAACAGGATTTTTTGGCTACACATGTATATCTTTTTTTTTCATCCTATACAAAGACATTTTTTAAAAGATTTTATTTTCAAAGAGAGGAGACGGGAGGGAGAAAGACAGGGAGAGAAACATCAATGTATTTGTGAGAGAAATATCAATCCAATCAGTTGCCTCTCATATGCCCCCAGCACACTCCCAGCTTGCCCCCAACTGGGGACCTGGCCTGCAAAACAGGCATGTTCCCTGACTGGGAATTGAACTGGTGACCTTTTTGTTCACAGGCCAATGCTCAATCTGCTGAGCCTTACCAGCTAGGGCCCCAAGGACAATGTTGCTTTTAGAAAGAGGGTTGAATCTACACTGCTCCAACCAACTAAGCCACACTGGCCAGGGCTTATCTTTCTTTAAAAAATTTTTTTTTAAATTTTTATTTTGTTTCTAGACAAGGGGAAAGGGAGGGAGAAAGGAAGAGAAACATCAATGTGTGGTTGCCTCTCATATACCCCCTACTGGGGACTTGGCCTGAAACCCAGGCATGTGCCCTGACCAGGAATCAAACTGGTGGCCCTTTGGTTTGCAGGCTGGCCACTCAATCCACTGAGCCATACCAGCCAGGGCAGGGCTGTATCTTTCTTGATAGGGTCTCTGAAGTACTTTTGGAGAAAGATTTATTTTCCCAGGAAGCCCAAAATGATCTAGACATGAGATCTGGGAGTTTAGGCACCTGGTCCTGGGTTGTGTATATGTGTGGGTGTGTGTTGGGAAGCTGGTGGAATGAACAGAATTATGGAAAGTAGGGAAGGAGAGTCAGGGGAATAGTGGACTGTGGGGAAGATTCAATTTAATTTGGCTCAATTAACCAAATATTAAGCACCATTGTATGCTCGACCGTTTTCCTGAACTTTGGGATATATCGGTGAATAAAAGAGATAAAGATCCTGCCTCCAGAAAGCTCACTTTCAAATGTAAAATATAATTAACTATAAACATGTCAACTTTTATCCTCACCCGAGAACATGCTTATTAACTTTAGAGAGATGGGAAGGGAGAGAGAGAGAGGGAAAGAAGCATCAATGTGAGAGAGAAACATTGATCTATTGCCTCTCGTACGTGCCCCAACAGGGGATCAAACTCAGAACCTAAGCATGTGCCCTGACTGGGATCGAACCAGCAACCTTTTAGTGTACGGGACGATGTCCCGATCAGGTCAAGGGCTGCAACTTTAAAAAGTGGTGCAGAAGGCCTCAATGAGAAAGTGATCTTTGAGCAATGACTTGAAAGAGGTGAGGGAACCATTCATGTGGGTGTCTTGGGAAGGAGGTTTCCAGGCAGAAGTCACCGCCAGTGCAAAGTCCCTGAGGCAGCCTTGTGCTGGAGAGGAGGCAGGGAAGAGGGAAGATAGTGAAGGGTCTTGTTGGTCATTATAAGGACTTTGGCTTTTACTCTGAAGAAAAAGGGGTTGAAACATATATTTCTCCCGGCTTTCTGACTTTTATTCCCATGTCTTGTGTGTGTGTGTGAGTGTGAGTGAAGGTCTGGCATTGGCAGGCACCTGGGCGTGGGCAAAGGTCCTGGCAGTTCATAACTGCTCTTCGAATCTTCCTCCTACTACCCTACTTCCCAGACTGGGGTGTGGCTCGTTCCACCCCCTCAGCTGTTTTTATGACACACATCCCCAGCCCTGGAACTCAGCTCCTCAAACACAGAGCAAATTAGAGGTGAGAAGGACCCCTACCCACCATTCCCCTGCTCCTCCACCCTTTCCCCCCTCCCCCCACACCTCCTATTGACTGCAGGCCAATCAAAGCCTCCCAGTGGGACAGGGAAAGTCAGAGGCTGGGACCAGAGAGACAGGGATTAAGAACGATGAGCAGGCAGGGGGGCCCAGCAGTCACAAGCCCCTAAAGGAGACATATCTAGATCTCCCTCCCCACCTCCCTGCCTCCACCCCCCCACCCTGCCCTCTGTCCCTTCTCTACACGCACACACACACATGCATGCCTGACACAATGGCCGGGTGGGGCTGAGGAACTGGCTTCCTCTGCGGAGATCTCAATCTGGGTCCTCAGTTCCCGCCCCAGAAACACAGGAGACACTGGGAGACCTGGCCCTACACTCCTTGCTTCACGAGGCAGGCAGGAACAGGCTGAAAATAGAAACTGCTTCCAAAACGATAAAGGTAAATTTAGGGGGAGCTACTGAGGAGTTAGGGCTGGGGGGGAGATCTGGGGAGGGGTCCCTTGGTGTGAAATAGTGACTGGCTCACACCCAGGGAAAGAGGTTGGAAGCTGAAGGGACAGGTTGTCGGGTAAGGTGTGGGAGAGACAGTCAGACACACTGTGGAAGAACACACACCATCCCTTAGCTGATTCGGAGGTGTCCTACCAGCAGCCCAGCTCTGTGGCATTTTCATCCCACCTCCACCCCACCCCATCCACATCCAGCCCCAGCGCCCCCACCTGTGCAGCAATGCAGACAGAACTCACACAGGCAGAATAGCCTGCCGTCCACGCCCAAGTTTCAGCCTTTCCCCAGACCCTGTTAACCTCCAAATCCTGGGACACCGAGTCTGTCACATCTTCCAGAGCTCCAGTGTGCGCATGTGGAGTGTGGTGTGGTTGGGGGGGGGTGTCCGGTTGGGAGGAGGATTTGATTCCTGTTTCCTGCTCCTACTCACTCAGCCCTAGGAGGTGACTGAGAATGGAGAGGACTCAAGGGTGAGTGCTTGGGCTCAACACCTGGGTCCCTTTGACAAGCCTGAGTGGGGGGCGGGGAAGGAAGTAAACAAAGGTACCTGAGAAGGGGGTGGGATCCCTGAGTGGGGCAAAGCTGGGAGGAGCTGGCGAGGCCATTGCCTGGGTCATTTTGATAAGGGGCTTCCTGCCAGGATATGGTGGCCATTGAGCTGCAAGACTCACAGCCTACATCCCCTAACCCCCACTCCACACCCTTCCTCAAGAACTCACTCTGGAGCCTGGAGGGGTCTGAGTCCCCTGCTGACTCCTGCAGGGGGTTGGGGGGCACCTCTGTCTCCCAGCCCTGACCCTGCAGCCTTCTCAGGATCATGGTCATCTTCCCAGGGGGAGCGGTGAAGCCTAGGTCCTCATGGCTGGCCTCACTTGTCCTTGCCTTCAGTCTGGTCCCCTCACCGCCCTTCAGGTATCCAGGCAGCACCCAGGCATCCACTGGGGCCTCTTTTTCTGTGACCAGATGGCAGGATGGGGACCCGCAGGGATAAGAGGATGGCGCAGGAGAGACCATGTCCGGGGCCTCCTGGTCTCTTGGGGTCAGAGGTTCCAGGAATCTTCATGGCAGGAAAAGGAGACTAAAAATAACCCGGAAAGGGAGAGTCCGGAGAGAGGAACTGGGAAATGGGGGGTGGAGGGCCAGTCGGAGCAGGAAAATAGTGATGCGTCCCTTACAGCCCAGGCGTGGATGTGTGTGTGCAGACACACACACACACACACACTCCCGCACAGACAGCACATAACACACACAAACCCTTGCACCCCTCTCCCACCATACACCGTATGCTGGGTACTCCACTCCCCCACTGCATGCCCACCCAGTAAACTCATAGCAAATACACTCTTTAAACACATCATACAACACCCCTTTCCTAGAGCAGTAGAAACAGCACACACACTTAAACCATAGTCACAAACCTTCACAACACGATTACAGACACACAACACAACTCATCAAGCAGATGCATAGTGGCTATAACAGCAAGCTGAATTCCCCTTCCTGGTCCACTTCTCTTGTACCCTCTCCCCCCACCTTGGGTCTCTACCAAAGCACCCCCACCCTAGCCTCACTGATTCCTCCGGCCTGACTGTGGCAGCAGAGGCCAAAAGGCAGAGAGAAGTGGAGGCTGGGAGGGCCGAGAAAGGCTGCCTGGGGGAGAGGGGGCTCCAGGGGCCTCAGGAATAAGAAGGAGTGAGAGGTGAAGACAGAAGGCTGCAAATGAGAAGGGGAGGAAGTGCACCAGCCTTCCCTCCTGAGTCCCAAATCATGGCTGATTTGCTTGCAAACTATTTCTGCTCAGAGGCCTCAGTCTACTCTCAGCAGGCCATGGGTAACACTAAGGGTCTCTCTCCCTCCCTCCCTTTTCTTCAGGGGATGACTCCAGCAGAGCACCCCACTCCTTTGAAGAGCTCAGAGAAAGATGTCAGACCAGTCTCTTCCTATAGCAACACCCCCTACCCAGAAGCCCCCTCGGATCATCCGTCCCCGTCCCCCCTCTAGACCTCGGGCTGCCCAGTCCCCAGGGCCCCCCCACAATGGCTCTTCTCCGCAAGAACTTCCTGTCACCTCCAATGATGTACCAACCCCAATGTGCACCCCCATCTTCTGGGAACCCCCAGCCTCTTCCCTCAAGCCTCCTGCCCTTCTGCCCCCTTCAGCTTCTAAAGCCAGCCTCGACTCCCAGACTTCCCCAGACTCACCTTCCAGCTCCCCCAGTCCAGTGTCTCGGCGCTCCATCTCCCCAGAACCTGCTCCCAGGTCTCCAGTCCCCCCACCTAAACCCTCCGGCTCCCCCTGCACACCTCTGCCCCTACCCCACACAGCCTCCCAGGTCCCCACCCAGGATGGCTCTGCCTCTGCCCCAGGCACTGTGCGGAGACTGGCTGGCAGGTTTGAGTGGGGGGCTGAAGGCAGGGGCCAGGCTGCTGATGTCCTGGAGCCAGCTCCCCAAGGGAGAGTGGATGTGAATGGGGAGAGAGACACTCCCCAGGGCATCCTCACCAGAAGGGGGTCCCAGGAGAATGGCGCTCAGGGTAAGTACTTCCCCCAGCTAAAATGGGCTCAATCCAGCTTTTTTTTTTTTTTTTTTAAATTTTCAGTACTTTAAGGTTGGTTACTTTCAGGGGCTACCTTTTCAAAAATGGATTTTATGTTTGGAAAATCTGAAGTCCATATTTCTGGGAGTTTGGAGATTCAGGGTTGAAGAGTAGAAGCCTGGCGCTGGCCCACGTTCCAGCTGCTGCGCAGGTCAAGGAGAAGGAGGAGGCCTGGGCAGGTTGGGGCCAGGCCCTAGGGGCCTTTGCCTTAGAACACCTTGTCTCCCACAGGTGCTGCCCAGGCCTGCCCTCCCTGCTGTCCCTGTGTCTGCCATGTAGCCCGGCCAGGCCTGGAGCTCCGATGGGTCCCTGTGGGGGGCTGTGAGGACGGTCCCAGGGCCCCCTGCCGAGCCTCCCCTCTTCGGACCTCCCGCTCCCGCCCCAACCCTCCCAGCACCAGTCACCACTCAGTGGTCCTCACATCCTACCGCTCCACGGCTGAGCGCAAACTCCTGCCACCACTCAAACCCCCGAAACCCACTCGGGTCAGGCAGGATGCCAACATCTCTGGGGATCCCCCACAGCCAGTTCTCGATTTGCCCTCTGAAGATGGAATCCAAACAGGTACAGGGTTGGGGGTGGGGACTGGATTCTTTGAATGGGATGGGAAGGGAAGGGGTGGATAGGAAGCATTTTAAAAATGAACTACAACCCCCAATAGGCCCTGAGCTTTTTTTTGTTGTTGTTGTTGTTGTTCCTCTACCAGTACCAGCTGCTGCTCTAGGGCAGATGGGAGTTGTGGTTTTTATCGTAGCAGTCTCTGCTGGGGACCCTGATTTGTTCTCTTCACTCTGGTTTCTCTCTCCAGGAAACAGACCAGATGAAGCTCCTCAGAACGCCCCTCCAGCAACCGTGGAGGGCAGGTACCAAACACGGCTCACCCATTACTCCTACCTGAGGGCAGATTCACCTTCAGGTCCGGTTAAGTCCTACCTTCCCAGAGGGGGAGTGAAGAAGGTCTGGGGTTCTAGAGACAAGTAGCCCTGGTTTCTAATCCCAGCTCTGTCCCTTACTGCTGTGTGACCTTATACACGTCACTTAACCTTTCTGAGTCTCAGAGTCCTCATTTGTGACATGGGGTAAGCATACCAACTACTTCATAGAGTTGTTGGGTATAACATTGGTAAAGTGCCAGTCTCCTAGTAAATGCTCCATTTTAGCTCCCCTACCCTAAGCCTCTATCGCTGGTACTATCTGCAAGACTATTTGGCAACCATCTCTTCCATGTCACCTGGGTTTACTAATGATCTTAGATCCACTACCGTTAGCAGAGTTAGTCTGAGCCCATTCGTTTATTCAACATTTACTGATGTTTATTCTCCTGGGTTTTTAGCTTGGGTGAGTGGGTATGTGGTGGTGCTGATAACCAGAACAGCAAAGACAGAGCTGCAGGTGAAGAGGAGGTTTGGGTTTGGGTTTGATCATACTGAGTCTCACTGAGGTGTGGGTGGACATTTCGAACAGTGGAGCGATTTCTACGTGAGAGGGCTGGGGATGAAGACTCAGAAGTCCATGGTGCACAGTAGTTGAGATAACAGGAGTAGAGGGAGCCTGCTTAGTTCAGGGCCTCCCGTACAACAGGCACATGGAAAAGAATCGGGTTTGGTCTGGGGAGCCAACAGAGTTCCCTACACACAACCTTCCTCTATCATGTGACCGGCACCCCTGGAGGCGTGCGATGGGAGTGGTTCTGGGGGACTCCGTCCCTTTTTCTCTCCACAGGGATGATGGGGTGCCGGAGGAGCTGAAGGGTCAGAACTGGGAGCTGCCCCTGCAGGATGGTGAGTCCCTGCTGTGACCATCAAGCCAGGAGAAGGGTTCGGGGGCCCTGGACTCCCCTGATGTGCCACCTTGGCTCTCCAGAACCCCTGTACCAGACCTACCGAGCAGCCGTGCTGTCAGAGGAGCTGTGGGGGGTCAGTGAGGATGGCAGTCCCTCTCCAACCAGTCCCGGAGAAGCTCCCACCTTCCCCCGGCCCCCTGGACCTCGAAACACTCTGTGGCAGGAGCTTCCAGCTGTGCGAGCCAGTGGCCTCCTGGACACTCTCAGCGCCCAGGAGAAGCGCATGCAGGAGGTGGCATACCTGGGGTCTGGCCAAGGGCAGAAGTGTGACCTGGGTCCCGGGCTGTCTGGAAACTGGGCTTTCCACTCCCGCTCTGTCCTTCCTCTCAGAGCCTGTTTGAGGTGGTGACATCCGAGGCCTCCTACCTGCGCTCCCTGCGGCTGCTGACTGATACCTTTGTGCTGAGCCAGGCTCTCCGGGACACGCTCACCCCCCGGGATCACCACACCCTCTTCTCCAATGTGCAGAGAGTCCAGGAAGTCAGTGAGCGGTCAGTGGGGCCCTGCCCTCTCAGCAAACCAGACCTCAGGCTCCTGAGCACCCCTTAGCACCTCAAGAAGCCAGGAGACCTGGCTCCTCTCCCCACTCATTGCTTGTTTCCCCACTCCGTCAGGTTTCTAGGGACATTACTGTCCCGTGTACGCTCTTCCCCCCACATCAACGACCTTTGTGACATAGTGCATGCCCATGCTGTGGGTCCTTTCTCGGTGTATGTGGATTACGTGCGGAACCAGCAGTATCAGGAGGAGACCTACAGCCGCCTTATGTGAGTGTCCCAGAAGTGGGGGCCAGGCCATGCGTGTGAGGGAAAGCTGGGAGCGGGGTTGGGGTCCAGGCCAGGGCAACTTGGGGGATGAGGGCCTCCAAGGCAGACACCAGTGGCCTGGCCCGGGTCTCCTCTGCAGGGACACAAATGTGCGCTTCTCTGCGGAGCTGCGTCGGCTGCAGAGCCTCCCCAAATGTGAGCGCCTTCCACTGCCGTCCTTCCTGCTGCTGCCCTTTCAGCGCATCACACGGCTCCGCATGCTGCTGCAGGTACCACCGCCCAGGCTTGGGGTGTTTTCTGCCCCATCAACTCCATAGGAGTACCTTCCCAGGGCCACCTGCTTGGCCATTGCTGTCTCCCACCCCACCACAAATACAGGACTCCCCTAAATCAGACCTCCTAGTCTGGGCCTCTCAGTCCAGGACCAACCAAGCCCCACCTAGAGCTACCCAAAGTTCTCCAGTGCAATCTGGGTGCAGGAAATGAGGCTCTGGCTAGAGACAGGAGTTCTAGACTTGGCCGTGCCACTAACTGGCTGACTGATCTTGGGCAAGTCTCTTCCTCTCTCTCTGGGTCTCAGGGGTGATGTGGTGGGTGGTCTTTGAGGTCTCCTCAGCTGTATCTTTCACTGCACACCTTCTCAATGGGGTTGATATCACCCCCAAGTGGGCAAAAATTCATTCTTAGAAGAGTAAAAAAAATCTTAAATATTCCAATGGTTGTGCTACTTCAAAGGCCCACAGTACATAAAAGATATACAGGATATCTGTGCTATTGAAATTTCTAAAAACGTTTCTTAGCAGAGTGACACCCCCCCCCAAAAAAAAAAGGTTGAGAAACACTCTTCTATTGCAGAATAGAAACTTCTCCCTAAACCAGGTCACCCAGTGTGGGGACCTCAGTGAGAAGAGTTCCTAACTAAATGATCAGCATTGTTATGTCTTATTCAGTTTAATACACCCCAGTGTAGGCAAAATAATCACAATCAGAACAGTCAAGCAGCTTTGAGTGCTCTGTTCTTGGCATGATTCTAAGTACTATATGCCCACTTAACCCAACCAATGGCTGTATAAGGGTAGAAACTATTATTGACTCTGCTTTATAGATGAGGAAACTGAGACAGAGAGAGGCTAAATACTGTGTCCCAGGTTATCCAGATAATAACTGATGGAGACAAACTTAAAATCCAGGCAGTCTTAACCATTGTGATGTATTGTTTGTGCTAGCGGCTGTGGTTAATAATTATTTAAATAATAGCAATCTTCTTTTTGGCATTTACTGTGTGCCAAGGACTATACTAAGTACATTACATGTATTACTTTTCTGAATGCTCACAACAATGCTAGGTGGGTATTGTCCTCATTTGACAGATGCAGAAACTGAGACTCAGAGAGGTAATGTGATTTACTCAGGGTTAGGCAGATAGTGAGTGGTGAGGTCTCAGCCTTGTTGAGGCTGGCTCCTCAGCCAAGTGAACCCCAAACTGAGCATTTTTCCAAACCAGGCAAGGGTCCCCTGAGCTGGAGCCCCCCTGAATCCCAGGGCTGCAGAGCAGGTGCCCACTCACCCTTCTTCCTTGCCCTCAGAATATCCTGCACCAGACAGAGGAGGGGTCCAGCCGCCAGGATAATGCTCAGAAGGCCCTGGGTGCTATCAGCAAGGTGGGCAGGAGGGTATGCTGAGGCCAGGAGAGGTGAAGAAGGGGCAGGGAGAGAGGGAAAGGGTGGAAGGGAGTAAGGGTAGTGACTCAGCTCTCCTTACCCAGATCATTGAGCGTTGCAGTGCTGAGGTGGGACGCATGAAGCAGACTGAGGAGCTGATCCGGCTCACCCAGAGGCTGCGCTTCCACAAAGTCAAGGTTGGTCTCTGCCCAGACTCCCCATCTTCCCTTTCCCCATGGTGGTATTATGAAGAAGCCAGAACCTCCTCCCTGCTTCCTCCCAGGCCCTGCCCCTGGTCTCTTGGTCAAGGCGCCTGGAGTTGCAAGGGGAGCTGACGGAGTTAGGGTGCCGGAGGGGGGGCGTGCTCTTCACCTCACGCCCCCGCTTCACTCCCCTCTGCCTGCTGCTCTTTAGTGACCTGCTGCTCATCACTCAGCCCAAGAGGTGGGTCCCAGGAAGGGCGGGAAGCCCAGGCAGCGGTGGGAAGCCCAGCTGGACTTCTGTTCTCTCTCTAAACTTCCTCTTCCCTGGGTAGTGGGCAGCGACTACAGGTTCTGGACTATGCCCATCGCTCCCTAGTCCAGGCCCAGCAGGTTCCGGACCCATCTGGACCCCCTACATTCCGCCTCTCCCTTCTCAGCAACCACCAGGGCCGCCCCACTCACCGGCTACTCCAAGCTTCGTCCCTGTGAGTTGTGTCTCCTTTAGAAATGCCCCTGGGACCTTCACCTGACCTCTCAGAGCCTACCACCCTCCTCCCCAATCCCTCTCCTCTGTGGCCCCTGCCCAACCCCTAGTAGGAGCTCCTGAGCCAATCGTGGCCTTCCCTGTGTCTCACCAGATCAGACATGCAGCGCTGGCTGGGAGCTTTCCCCACCCCTGGCCCCCTTCCCTGCTCCCCGGACACCATCTATGAGGACTGTGGTGAGTAACCTCTAGAGGGTGGAGGGAAGGAAAAGTGAGTCTTAAGGGGTGTCTGGGGGAGAAGCTAAAAAGAGCCTTGATCCTACTGTAATGTCACCCAACCCTACCAGACTGTTCCCAGGATCTGTGTTCAGAGCCTTATGTACCAGCCAAGGCTGAGGCACAGAGTCCAGAGTCCCGGGCTCCCACAAAGCACCTGCACAAGAGCCCTGAAGGTGAGAGATTCTTTTATTTCTTCACCCAGTAAATATTTATTAAGTACCTATGTTCGAGGTACCACTCTCTGTTCTAGGCACTGTGAACCAAACACACAGATATTCTTGTGCTGTGCGAGTATACATTCTAGTGGAGGAAAAACAATAAAGAGTAAACCAGATAAATAAGTAAATTATATGTAGTGCATCCAAAGGTGATAAGTGCTATGGAAAAACGAGAGTGGAGCAGAGTCAAGGAGGCCACGAGTCCCAGGGTTGGGTGGGTTACAAGTAAATAGGGAGGTTGAGGTGGACCTTAATGAGGAGACACCATGTCAGCAACAACCTGATGGAGGTGAGGAATTTAGACACGTGGCATCTAGAAGAAGGATGTTCCAGTCAGAGGCAAGAGTCAGTGCAAAGGCACTGTGGTTGGTGTGTGTGAAGAAGCAGTAAGGGTTTGAGTGTGGCTAGAGGGAGTGAGGAGAAGGGAGAGAAGCAGATGAGGTTATAGAGATAACAGGGACCAGATCCTGTGGGTCCCCGTAAGGATTCTGGCTCTCGCTCTGAGTGAGACGAGCAGCCATTGCAGGACTCAATTGAGGAGTGACCCTGACCAGCTTTGACATTATTGTCATGTCCACCTCCAGTGGCATTTCTATCAATGCTCCAGGCTTCTCTACTAATTCCTACACTCACCGTGACCCTCAGGCATTAGACCCCATGGTGCCTCCTTCCCTTTTGACCTGTGTCCTGCCATGGCTCCACTCAGGCCCCCATCTCTCTTTTTCCAGGCTGGCTGAAGGGGCTTCCTGGGGCCTTCCCTGCCCAGCTGGTGTGCGAAGTCACAGGGGAGCATGAAAGGAGAAGGCACCTTCGCCAGCACCAGAGGCTCCTTGAGGCTGTTGGGCCCTCTTCAGGAACCCCCAGTGCTCCCTAACCCTAATGCAGGCTGCAGAGTGGGCACAGGCTGGGACAGCTGGCAGTGTGGCAAAGCTCATCCATCTATTGAATTCACTGTCAGTGGAAACACTACCTCTAGTGGCAACCAATAGGGACCAAGCTTCATGACAAGACAGCCAATGAGAACAGGGTTGTCTGAGCCGGACAGAATGAGGATGGTTTGAGTGTGTTGCCAATGGAGACAAAGGCTTAGTGCAGAGCTGTTAATAGGCGTGGAGCTGGCTGAGTCCCTGGCCAGTGAGTATTCCCACTATGCTCACAGCCTAGGAAAATGAAGGTAGATGGATGCAGTTAAAAAGGGCTGCATTGGAGATTAGGATTAGGGTAAGGATTGAGATAGCTAACGGCAACGAGCAGGGACCCATTCAGCCTCAGAAGATGGTGATCTGGACCCAAGAGATCAGAAGTGACCCTGCTTGGTTCTACAGTAACCACTCCTGCCCTTTGAACCTACAAAGTATTAGATTCCATTCTCAGGGTGCCTCATTAGTCCTCTCAGGCCACTTTTTCTCTTCTCGAAGAATCCAGAGAGTCTGTGAGTGTGTGTGCATGTGTGCATGTCTCCGCTGAATGTGGTGTGTGTATGATCTTGCCCCCTCCCAGATGACTGAGTGCCCCGTTTCTTCCCCCAGCCCCCATGTTAACTGTTATTCTCTCTGGGAAAGACTCTAGGTCTGAGGGCCAAAGGAGAATGGGCTGAGCATGGCTTGGCAGCCAGAGGCCAGAACTGGAGATGAGAGTCCCGGGATCTGGGTCTTTTAGAGGCCAGAGTCCCTGGCAAGTAGAGGGTGATGTTATGGGTAGACAAGCAGCCTGGCGGAGGAGCCCAAGGGACTGAAGATGGCCAGTAGCTGGGGCCCGAGGCCCCGTGAAGCTCACAATCCCTTCTCCTTGCCCCAAAGCTTGGGGTCCATAACCTCTGCCTGGAAAGCCCCAACCAAACTATAATCAGGCATCCAGCCTCAGCCTTGGACATCAGACTCTGGACCTCAAGTTTGGATGAAGAAACAGAAGCTGTGGATCATGGGCCATCTGGTGAGCCTCCTGGACTTTCTCGCCTTCGTTGGTTCCTCTCATTAGAAACACAGCGCCAAGCAGTGGCAGAGAATGGAGAGCAATGTTGCTGTTCAATCCCATCCAGAGGGTCTGCTTCCAGAAGAGAAACTGCCCCCACATGATGCCAACAGGAGGCAAGGGACCAAGAGAGAGTGGAGCAGACAGTTGCTGGCAAGTGGGGCCCAGCCCTGGCACAAGGTCTTTCCTGAGCTAGGCCACCACACCTTCCCTTCAGCTCATACATAGGAGCTTGCTCAGGACAGAAACTGCCATGCCGACCACGGGAGGTGCAGGGACTCTAGGAGACTCACAAAGAGAAAGGCACCAGCATTTGGCATGCTCATGACGTTTGGAGATTCACCTCGCACAGTGCCTGGCATATGAGAAACCCTCAATAAATGTTGGTGGAGCTGTATTGGGGCTCTTCAGGGGACTGTGTGCTTAAAGAAGCAGTGGTTTCCAAATGTGTCTTATAAGGTGGGCGGGGCTTGTTAGAAAGGGATTCTTTGAGAGCAGAGATGGGTTCTGCTGGGAGCAGGGCTTGGAGACTAGGTGCAAGGCCCCAGTGTGTCAGCCCACTCGTACCTGCACAGGGATCCAAGGCTGTGCTGGGGGTGAATTTGCAGATGCTGGAGTGTGGGGCTCCTGCAGGCTGGGGAAGAAAACAGGGCAGGGCCAGTTATGGCTGGGGCTCCAGCAGGAGATGAAGATGCAGAGAGCAGAACAAAAAGGGCAGTCAGTTGGCAATAAAGGTCTTTTCCTGACCAATCAAGCATCTCTGTGTTTAATTCAATCAATTCTACACCTGTTTATTAAGTGCCTTCTCTGTGCCAGGCACTGTTCTAGGATATGGGGATGCAGAGATGAACAAAGCAAGGACCTTGCCTCAAGGAGCCTATGCTCTGGGGATGGGGGAGCAGGTGGAGAGAACAATGACCAATTGTAAACAGTTTAATAAGTAAGATAAACTCAGGGAGCCCTGAGTGCTACAAAGAAAATATACTAAGGTCTGTGATACAGAATACTGCACTTGTGTGTAGCTTTGAGGAAGATCCTGGAGGTAATATTTGAGCTGAGACGCAAGTGACAAGAAGGAAGCAGCCCTGGGAAGCTCTGGGCAAAGGGCATTCCAGGGGTGGCAGCAGGGGATCGGAGCCCAGGAAAAGAAGGTAGCAGTCATGGGGAGGTGCATGTTCTCCTTCAGGTTTCCTGGCTGAGGGAGCCCCTCTCCACCAAACTCCCTCTCTCTCTGAGACTCTCAGAGAAACAGACAGACAGAGACATTCAGAGGCCCACATAAAGCTACACACGTGCCCCATAAACGGTGCCTCCCAGCTCCTCACCCATCCCTTCACCCTCCCCTGCAGAAGCCCCATGCTCCACTTCAGATGTTCCAATATGGGATAACGAGAAGACAAAGACCAGATAAGACTTGTTTTGGGGATCTAAAGGAACAAAAAATACAACCACACATTCCGAAAGACACAGAAAACACAGGAAAGAAAGGGCACTGTCATGTTTCTGTTGTCTTAGAGGCCCCTTTGCATTGTGGGGTGATGTAAGTAAGCATGTGCCGTCTTTCTGCAGACCTGTCAGAGAGGGCTGAGGGGCATGAAGCACAGCTTTGTGGGAAAGGGGAGGATGTGAGGGGATGAGACCACCGTGAGTATGGGGAAAGTGGGTGGCAGAAGGGCTGGGGCTAGGGTAAGGAAGACAGAGAAGGGGGCATGACAGGGATGGTGCAGATGGTACAGGGGGCTGTAGGTAATCTGGTGAATCCTGAATTCTCTCTCCCTGCTCCTGCGCATCCTCCACCAGGTACCTACCTTTCTGTCATAGCCCAGTACTACCTCCTGCTAGCGTCCATCCTCCTCGCCACCCTGTTGCTCCTCGCACTTCCTCTGAGTCACCTGCAACTTTCTGGTAGGTGTGGGAGGAGGGATCAGTCTCCCAGTGCTTCCCTGGCTGGTGGGGGTGGTAGGGGTCCGTACAAATGTCCCAGCTGGTAGAGAGGTTCAATGACCCATTTGGGAAGTCCTGGAGCTGCCATCACTCCGATCTTTCACATTCTGTCATGCTGGGGAGGTGAAAGAAACTCGTATTTTTCACAGGCTTTGGAAAGGTGCAGGTGTGTCTCAGTCTCCAGGGAGGTGCCTGAGAGGACAGGGTGGGGAAGCTGGGCCCCATTGGGAGTGTCTCCCTCTCTGAGTCAGTATGTGCTCTCTCCCCCCTCAATAGTCTTGCTCCTGCTCCTCAGGTTTGTGGCCTCCATGTATGGGGAGCTGTTAATAATGCAGATGGGACAGGGCATGACCTCTCTTTGCACTGGCCCTTCTGTGGCCTCTGGGTCAACATCGTTGTGGCCATTATCACTGGTGAGCTGAGGGGGGATGCAATCATGACCACAGGTGGGTGAGAGGCATCCTCCCCCACCCCCAGCCTGCTCACTAGCCATCCCCCCTCTCCTGCTGGCCCCACAGATGCTCCAGCCCACTTCCTGAGGTCCTTCTCAGGAAGGACCTTCCCAGAGCCCTTCAGCCTGGTTCTATCTCTTTCTGAAAGCGTCTCTCTGTTCCTCCCGCCTTCCTAGCAGGGCTCACCTCTCTTCAGCTACCGGGGTATCTGCTGGTTCCCGTGTTCCGGGTTGGCCGGTTCAGCCGGCAGGCACACCGCCCGAGGCAGGAGTACGTCTTCTGCGACAGTTCCTCCACCAGCCAGAGGCAGCCCCGAGGGCCACCCGAACTTGCTCCCCGGCAGGCCCCGTCCAAACTACCCAATCTCCACCCTCCAGCTGCTGGAGGCAGAGCCAGGGGAGCAAAGAGAGCAAAAAGAAACAACTCCGGGGATTTCCCTCTGATCCCACCTGGACGCCCTTCTGGCTTGGCACTGCTGCCCTGCCCTGACCCCGCCCCGCATGGTCTGAGGTGGACCCAGCACATCCGACCTGGAGTCTCATCTCACTCCTCCTTGCCCGCAGTTTTGTACTTTCTCCTTTTCACTAGTCGGCTCACCCACTTGTCCCCAGCCCCCTGGGATCACACTGCCCTTCACTTCTGAAATCGTTTCCACCCCATCTACCTTTGGAAATCCGAAGCTGCCTTGGATGGGAAAGGGTTGGGGTTTAATTCATTTTATGGGGTCCTTCTAAAGAAAAATAATACAAAATATGAATTTAAAGTATGGTACAAAAATGGGTTTTTATTTAAAATGATCAAAATGATAAATCACACCTCTGGGTGGTGGTCCCTGAGCAGACGGGACTCCCTTCGTTCGAGCACCTCGCTCGGCTTCCCCAGCAAACATGTCTGATAAACCCGGTATGGCCGAGATTGAGAAATTTGATAAGTCGAAACTGAAGAAGACAGAAACGCAAGAGAAAATTCCACTGCCTTCCAAAGAAACGATTGATAGGAGAAACAAGCAGGTAAATTGTAATGAGGCCCACACCTCCAATATGCACTGTACATCCCACAAGCATTGCCTTCTTATTTTACTTCTTTTAGCTGTTTAACTGTATAAGATGCAAAGAAGTTGGATCGGTTTAAATGACTCTGCGGCCCTTTTTCACATCAGAGAACTACTGACAACGAAGGCCGCACCTGCCTCTCCCAACTGCTTGGCTGGCTGGCAGGGAAGGAAAAGAACTTGCATGTTGGTGAAGGAAGAAGTTTGGTGGGAGGACAGTGAAACCTAGAGGAAAAACCAAGCTGGTCCAAGGTGTCCTGCAGGCTGTAGAATGCAGTTTAATCAGAGTGCCTTTTTTTGTTGTTGTTGCTAAAATGATTTCAATTATTGGAATGCACAATTTTTTTAAACATGCAAATAAAAAGGTTCAAAACCTGCCCTGGCTGGTGTAGCTCACTGGATTGAGCACAGGCCTCTGAACCACAGGGTCGCTGGTTTGATTCCTGGTCAGGGCACATGCCTGGGTTGCCAGCCGGGTCCCCATTTGGGGTCACGTGAGGGGTGACCACATGTTGATGTTTCTCTCCCTCTCTTTCTCCTTCTCTTCCCCTCTCTCTCTTAAAAAAAAGGTTTAAAACCTCAAAAAATAATAAATCACTTATTTTTAAAAGCTAACACAATGAACAACATAAATACCCAGAAAATTAATTTTATTTGCTTTTCTTGCTATTCTAATAGGTGTAAAGTGGTATTTCACTGTGGTTTTAATTTGCATTTCCCTAATGACAGTGGTGCTGAGTATCTTTTCATGTGCTCACTGGCCACTTAAATATCTGCTTTGGTGAAGTGTTTGTTCAAATCTTTTAGCCTTCTAGAAACTGGGTGGTTTATTTTCTTATTATTGTGTTTTGAGAGTTCTTTATATATTCTGGATAATTCCTTTATCAGATATGTGATTTGAAAACATTTTTTCCCAGTCTGTGGCAGAAATTCTTAATTTTGTGGTCACTTCTTGCTCTGTCTTTTGGCAGAAATTTGTTTTTCTTCTCAATTCTGTTCAGTTGGTGTATAAAAGGCAATGAAACCTCCCGCAGAAGCAGAGCCAGGCAAGCAGGATACCCACCGACAAGCAGATCTGTCCACCGTTTTTCTGTCTGTCCAAACCCTGCAGGCCGAGACATTCTGGGGGAGAGGGCCCAGCCACCCTGGTGTCCTACAGCCTCCCTGCTCAGTGTGTGATCCTCGGACCAGCAGCATGGGCACGAGCTGGGAGCTTGTTACCCAGGAGGCATCTGCATTGTAAAGAGATACCCAAGTCAGCAGCACACGCATTAGAGTTTAAGAAACACACCACCACCAACAGGCCCACGTGAAAGAATGCGCACTTTCACAGACGCAAAAGAGAGGGAACCTTGGAGCTTGTGGACTCTGACTATGGAAGTATCTTAGCAATGCCAGGGCCTGGGGGCTTGCCACAAAGGAGATTCACACTGACACATGTGCTGGGGTGAGTTGGGCTGGAGTGGGACTGTTTCTGAGGGTCATGCAGGCAGCAATGCAAGTCCACGTGGACAATCAGGGAGTGACCAATAAGGCTGTGTAGCCCAAGTTGGTGTTCTCCAGGTCAGCCTTGCCCACTGTCACTGAGAGGCTATGTCCCAGAAGGGATGTCCAGGCACCTGTCACCTGTCCTCACTGATGGAATGGTGGGCAGTTGCTTTCTCAGGCACCTCCTAGCCTTGCACTCCATTCTGGTTGCTCTCTATACCCGTGTGAGCAAGTTACCATTAATTTTAGAAGCTTGGCTTCCTTTCTGTTGAGAAACGATTCTTCCCCAAGTCTAAGTGGTTCCAGTGGGTTGTCAGTCAGAGCATCCAACTTCACATGTTTCTCTGGTTCCTGTTTAGCTCTAGGCCTAGATGTTCAGAGTCCTCTTTGAATCTGTGTTTACTCAGTGTTCCCCAATACATTCCTTTTTGCCTAACCGAGTTTAGGTCTGTGCTTGCAACTGAAGAATTCTCACTGATACACTGCCTTACAAGAAAGCTGGCAAGTACTGCCGCTAGTCCATAAGGCACCTTTGTGCCTTTCACCTTGTGGTTAAAAGACAGTCCTTCTGAATAGATGGAGCAGTGAATGGCTTGGTGGGGAGCAGCACCTTTATGAAATATAAAACAAAGTGCCTCTTCTTCAAGGCCAGGGGAGCACTCTTAGAGGGGCGTGGCTTGTCAGGCAAAATGCGGACTGGAGTTTGGTTCTCACTCACCCCTCCACTGTATGCTCTTGTGCAGAGCGCATCTTGTATGACCTTATATAGAGAGCCTGTTGTCAGGCGCACCTCCCTTCCCTTCAGCTCTCTTCTCCTGTTTCCACCTTCCACTTTACCTTTTCTAGGCTTTTACTTGGGCAACATCAAGGCTGATAACAGCTCTGTTTACTTTTGTAGCTATCATGAAATCTTCCGTGCTTTGTCTATTTGTTGATTCTAAAAGATGAAACTCAATTAACAGTGTTTAGCTTAGGTATTGTGACTTATAAATATCTTTCAGTGCAGAGCTAGTAACCACTAAGATTACATTTCCTTTCTTGAACTCTTTTAATACCTTTTGAAAAACAGTTTTTTATACATTCACAGGATTATATGAAACATATGTTAGTTACAAATGATTCTAATGTAATGAACCTTTCACCCAAGTCAGGAAACAATACCCTACTGCAAACGATGTGTGTGTGCCATGGGACCCTCCTGGCCCTTTTCCCTGCTTCCCCAGAGAAACAGACAGTATTATTTTTTTTTGCGTTTATCATTCCACTGCTTTTTTTTAAACCATGCAATCATAATAGTATGTATGCATACATTGTTTTGTTGATTTGTAACTTGTTTATGAGCTCTATACAAATGGTATCATGTATATGGTGTATTTTTCTGGGAATTCTGTTTTTCAGAAAACATTGTATTTCCAAGATTCTTCCACATTGTTTTGTGTTGCTGTTAGAACTATTTATTATGATTAGAAACTCTTAGAAACTCCAGGAAAAACTAAAACAGATCCAAGGAAGGAAACACAATCTCGATGATCACTAGCTCTGCATGAATGACATTTTCAGGAGTCTCAACACCCCCCTCTTCCATGCCTCAGAACATGCCTCAGAGTTACCCCAACCTGTGGCCGACACAGCCAGGCAGTTTGTTTGCAAACTCCCTACCTGTCATTAGTTTGTGGGTCAGCTTCCAGATTCAGGTGCTCCTGACCATGGCTGAGTGTCTTAGGGATGACACTTGTCCCTGGCAGGGCCAAAGAGTGTTCAGACTTGAGACTGAGAAGTCATCTCTCTGATGGCCAAAGGTAGATAGTGTCTCACTATGTGGACCAGTGGAGAGGAGAAAGTTGGTCTGCAGAGGAAGAGCAAGATGTTCAAGGAGAAGAAGCAAGACCAGAGTCTGAATGTTTGTGTACCCCCAAATCCATGTGTTAGAAAACAACCCCCAAGTTGGTAGTATCAGGATGTGATCCTTTGGGAGGTGATTAGGTCCTGAGGGTGGAGCCCTCCTGAATGGGATTAGTGCCCATATAAAACAGATCCCACAGAGCTCCCTTGCCCCACGTGAAGACACACAGCAAAAAGTCTGTGACTTGGAAGTGGGGCCTCACCCAACCATGCTGACCGTGACAGAACCATGATCTTGGACTGCTAGTGTGTGAATTCCTGAGTTCTATCATTTCTGAGGTTCAGCTCTGCACATGACCTCAAGATTCATGACTGACTCCCTTTTTACTTAGATTAATTTAGGTTCTATTTTATCATTTGTAACCACTAATATTCAAGGATGTCTGCCAAAAACCTCTATGTTTTTTGTTCCATCTCCATTTGCTAGTGAGAGAGCACGAAAACAATTAAAATGACAATTCAACAATAATAACCACCACTTTCTGGGAATTTAATGTGAACCAATGAGTGCTTTTTATTCATGATCTCATTCAACATTCAAACCAAGTCTGAGACAAGTGTTGCTGTCCCTATGTTGCAGATGAATGAACTGAGGCACAAAGAAGCTTGTATGACTCATCTAGGTTCACAAGGTTATTAAGAGGAAAGCCCATTATTCACACCTCTGCCTTTTGAACCCTAAAGCCTGTGTGCTTGACCACATGTATCACTGTCTCCACAAAGTAAACCAAGCTCTGGTAGGATTCAAATTTATACCCCACATCTGAAAGGCTTGCACCTCACAAGAATTCCAGGGGCTGACTGAGGTCTGGAAGCTACTATGATCAGCCTGCCACAGGCTACTCAGATTTCTTTTCCTGTAATTTAAAAGGGAGATTAGGAAAATCTCAGGCTTCACCACATCCACATACCCTGTCCTTATCCTACGTCCTCCCCCTTCTGAGGCTGAGCCAAAAAACCTAAAAAGAGAGAGAGGGAGGCAACTGTTGGCTGGAAGTGAGTGGCAGTGAGAGAGGCGAAGGGGCTGGGGGAAGTAATGAGAAGGTCAGTTACACCTCTGCAAACATGTGCAAGTGTTTTCTTGGGGACAGACTTATTCTTCTCCATCCTCCTGCTCCATCAGTGAGTATTTGGGGTTGGTGTTAGGGCAGACGAAATAGAAAAAGAAAAGGAGACTCTCAGAGACCATTGTTCTTAGGTGAAGGGAGGCGTAAAAGCCACAGCTCTGAGTTGGGACCCGAGGAGCAGGGAGTTGAGAAGGAGTTGGAGCTGAAGCTGTGGGCCCCTCCCCCGCTTGCCTACCCCCCCTCCCAAAATATTCCATGGCAGTTAGGAGCCCTGTCCTGCTGAAAAGGTTGTTCTTTTCCAGATCTCAGGCCCTGGGGTGGCAACTGCTCTGCCTGATGAACATGTTCAGAAGATGAGGGACAAGTAGGCCTAGGAGGGGAAGGGGAGATGGGGTGGGGGATAAAATGGGATAAAGAGGATGTTCAAGATGGGGACAGGGGATATTAGGGGTGAGTTCCCTGGGTCAGGAGGAGAAAGCAATGAGCACTAGAAGCTTGGAAAGGAAGGTGAGGGTTGGAAAGGTAGATGGGACAGTAATGAACCTGGGGCAAGAAGAGGGGGTTCAGAACTTTGTCTTTGCCCCCAACAGAAACAGGCAGTCGCCTGTGATGCACAACTGGGACTCTCCTTTGGCCCTCAGATGAAAATTAAACACACTTCGCAGTGGAGGGGGGCGAAGCTGGCCCCAGGGCTCAGCCTGATTGCCTTCATCCTGCTGCTGATCATGACCTTCTCCACGAACTGGCTGTACCTCTCTTCGAGCCGCTTCTACCAGCGCTGGCCCACAAATGTTACTTGTAGAATGTACACGTCAGCTGTTATCATGTCCATGGGACTCCTTCAGATCTGCAAATTCAAAAAATGTCCCACCTCAGAGGAGAGGAAAGGTGAGACCCTCTAACCCTGGCCTCCAGCCTGCCTTCACCTCTCCATTTATACCCCGGTGTTTTTGTCCCCTCCTTCTGGTCATCTTCACTGTTTTGGCTGGTAAGATGACTCCACTGGCACTGAGACTGGAGCCAAGGCTCATTTTTGCTCTCCCATCCTGGCCAATGGAAAGTGTTACTGTTTTGATAGGCTTGCAGTCAAGTCTACTTATAAAAATGTGGTGAGGGGCCTGGCCTCTTAGTGCATGTGAATCACTCATTAATCACATAACCATTATCCTGGGAGACAAGCCCCATCAAGGTGGCATTTCCTTTCTCGAGGCTTGCATAGCACAGCTTTGGGAGGAGTTCCCAGAGTACTCTCCCCCGGGCCCTAGTCACAGACATTGTTCTTCCTTTTGGCTTTTTAGGCTTTGCTTTTCTGGGCCAGCTATGGGTTTCCACATGTGGTTTTCCTGCCCTTTCCTTCCTGGCTTCTTGCAGCTGCTTCATTCGCCATCTTGTTAATGTCACATCCTGCTGGCCTCTCACTTTCCAGGTTTGGGCCTCCTTTTTCAGAGCTTGTGGAAACCAGAGACTTTGACCCTCATCCCATACCTATTCCCATTTCTTCATTCTTATTAACATTTAAAAAAATTTACATAGCTATTATTTTCTTCCATTATGAAAGTAATGCATTTTTTAAAAAATATTTTATTTATTTTCAGAAAGAGGGGAAGGGAGGCAGAAAGAGAGGGAGAGAAACATCGATGTATGAGAGAACATCAATCAATTGCCTCTCCCACTCCCCCAACTGGGGACCTGGCCTGAAACCCAGGCACATGCCCTGACAGGGAATTGAGCCAACAATCCTTCAGTTCACAGGCCAGTGCTCAATCCACTGAGCCACACCAGCCAGGTCAATACATTCTTATTACCATATATTTGGGGAAACAAAAGCTATCATTTATCGCACACTTATTCTGTTTTCTCATTTTAATCCTCAATCAACTCTGATGGGGCAATTATCCTCTTTTTACAGATGAGGATATTGAGACTCAGATGAAGTACCTTGCTCAGGATCGTAAGGATGTTAGGTTGGACCACAGGAAATGGCCAACATTTGACTATGTTTCACCTATAAAAAAGAGCAATTCATCCGGATTAACCTAATAATGGCATGTTTACAATTATAATTCAGGTGTATCTTTCTCCAAAATTCATGTGAGCACCTAACTTGCTCTGTAGTACTATTCAAAGACAGCCACTAGCAGTGTGTTGAGCACTCAGTTTTTTCCAGGCTTTAAAAAAAAATTGGCCCTGGCTGGTATGGCTCAGTGGATTGAGCACAGACTGTGAACTAAAGGGTTGTTAGTTCGATTCCCAGTCAGGGTACATGCCTGGGCTGCAGGCCAGGTCCCAGTGGGGGCCATGTGAGAGGCAACCACAAATTGATGTTTCTCTCCCTCTCTTTCTCCCTCCCTTCCTCTCTCTCTAAAAACAAATGAAATCCTTAAAAAATAAATGATTAAAAGTTTTTTTAATTTAACAAATTTTAAATGACTTATGTAGTTGTATTTATTCTTCATAAATAATTTTATGTATTTAAAATTATTTTATTATTTAATTTATATTATTTTAAAATTTATCTTTACAGGGTATAATAAACTTTTCCTTAAGTGACTATAGTATTCAACTTAATAAATTTATCACTTCTTACCTGACTATGTTATTTTTCTATTCCTGACAAATTTATTTCTAACTTCATATTTGAGGAAAATGGAAGCAAAGAAATTTATTAATCATAAAGTTTTCTTTGTATTTAATATTAATTCTTTGGTATAGATTTCCTAAAGTGGGTTTACTGGATCAAATTGTTGGTGGTGAAAAGGTACCAGGTGTTAGGCCAGTGGAGTCAGACTGGACCTTGGTTCTTGAGTTCTGGCTAGGAAAGAATTCAGAGTCAAGACTCAAACTATAAGAGAAAGTTTATTCAGAAAGTCACAGAGGTAGAAGAAGTGAGCCATAGAAGAAATGGGCTCAGGAAACAAGTGACAGAGGCAGAAGAAGGGCCCTTGGTGCTTAGGAGAAAGAGAGAGGCAAGGAAAAAAACATGGGGGCAGGGGAGTGTGGAAAGGCATGGGTGGGCTCCATAGAGAGAGCCCTGCTGGGTCCTAGGCTTGATGGTATTTATCTGGAAGTCTCAGGGAGAATCCCAATAGAATATTCATCAGTTTTCCAGGTGTGTCCTTTCAGGCTTGTGGTCTCTACTGATTCGTTGGTGCCAGGGCAGGAAGTCATTAGTCAGTGCAGCTGGTCCTGGTGTCGGTGTCAGCCAAGGCATTGCTTGACTGGTTTTGCTGCATTTCTGGGCCTGGAGCTGAAACACAGCTGAGATGTAGATGTACTTGATGTGGGTCAGAACCTCTCTGTGCTGGGGGCTTAAGGGCTACTCTCCAGCCTCCTTGTTCTTCCCTCTCTAAGGGGGAGTCTAACCCACATAACTAGCAACATACTAGGGGAGGAAAGGTCAGGGGAGGGTCCAAACCACATGGCCAGTGAATGCCAAGGGAGGAAAGGGTACCTTGGAGGTGAGGTCCCTGTTTTCCCAGTTTTGCCTGGTGCTAGGCACCCAGGGCTTTCTACCATGGTGACCTTCTGACCTGGCCCATCATCCTTGCTCTGCTCTTGTCTAACTGCCTACTATAAAAATAGTATAAATATTTTAAGGCCCTTAATAACATTTCCCATGTTTCTTTAAAAAAGTCTAATACCAATTTATACTTCCACTAATAATGTATGAGGCTTGTTTCCTTGCACTTTTGCCAGCAATGACTGTTAACTTTATATATTTTTAAATGAAATATACAATTTTTTAATAAAAAAATCACACAGCCCTTATCAATGTGGCTCTGTTAGGCATTGTCCCATGAAGCTAAATGTCACCAGTTATATTCCCAGTCAGGGGACATGCCTGGGTTGCAGGTTCGGTCCCTGGTTGGGTGCATACATGAGGCAATCTATCGATGTTGCTTTCTCATATCAATGTTTCTCTCCCTCTTTCTCCTTCCCTTCCCCTCTCTCTAAAAATAAATAAATAAATCTTTAATAAAATAAAATAAAATAAATTACACAGTTATTGTGGGAAATGCAGAAAGTTTAAGAAAGAAAATAAAAATCACCTAAAATTTCCCCACACAGATATAATCACAATTGACATTATAACGTATATAATTCCAGTCTTTCATGCATATATATACATAAAATAAATACATATAAATAGATACATAATTTTTATTTTATTTTTTTACTTTTTATTGAATTTATTGGGGTGCCATTGGTTAATAAAATGATATAGGTTTCAGGCATACAATTTGATTATTGTTTATTTTTATTTTAATAAATATATGTATATTTTAAAATTGGAATCATTCTACATGCCCTATGTTGTAAATTCCACTTTTCAGTTGTGAGCATTTGCTCATATCATTAAATAATTATTCTAGAATGTCACCTATGTTTAAAATTTACCTGATCAGGTAGTGAGTCAAAACTCAAAAAATACAGATCTGCATAGTGAAGTGCGTCTTCAACCTCAGGAAGCCTCCCCAGTTTCTCCTTTATTCCTAGAGACACTATTTGGAGACAATCTTCTGTCACATCATCATTTTTTAAAAGATTTTATTTAGTGAAGACTCTCAGCCGAGGTGGGCAGCCCGGCAGAGGACCTGGGAGACTGACTGGGCCTGCGTCCCACTTTCCGAACATCCTGCCAATGGGGAGAAAGGCCGGTACTGGAATGTGAAGTGGAACTTGGACGCGCTCACCAGCCCAGGTCTCAGGGTCCCCCGACCAGCTTTCATGGGTCATCGCAGGCAGGCCACTGAGCTCTAGGAGGAGGACCCTGAGGACTCTGATGAAGAATGGGCTCCAAGGCAGCAAGACGGTGGATGCTGACCAGAGTCTAATGACTAAGGAAGGGCGTGGATGGCCAGTATGTGCACAGTGGGGAGGATACCAGAGAAAGGAGGCCAGGTGGTCGAGGTGCCCTTAGGCCGGACAAGGCCAGTTTGAATGAAGAAAACAGGATGGAGAAAGGGTTATGTTGAAGACATGGAGTTTCTGTGCAGTTACTTGTATTACATTTTTGTCAGGAGAGGCCAATTTATTCTTTAATAAATGCAATAGATGCTTTATGAACATAGAAAAAAATACTTTATTTATTTATTTTTAGAGAGGGAAGGGAGGGAGAAAGAGAGAGAGAAACATCAATGTGCGGTTGCTGGGGGCCGTGGCCTGCAACCCAGGTATGTGCCCTGACTGAGAATCGAACCTGCAATGCTTCGGCTCACAGCCCACACTCAATCCAATGAGCTATGCCAGCCAGGACATCATCATTTTTAATTAACACATAATAATCTAATGTATGGGTACACTATAATTTATTTAACAAATTTCTTGTTGGACATATACATATCTCTTCAGAGAAGATCTATACATATTTTGGTACAGATCTTGGATTACTTCCTTAATGTAAATTCCAAAAAGAAGCATTTAGGGTGTTTTGTTTTACTTTGTTTTTTTGTTTTTGTGCTATATCACTCACCAGAAAATGCTGCCCACTAGCAGGGTGTGAAAGCACCTCTTTTTTTTCTAAATCCTTCCCTACATTAGATATAATTACTTTTGTTTTGATCTTTGCTAATTTAATAGATTTAAAAGTCACTTTGAATTTGCAATTCTTTGTGTTGAGCTTCATGTATTTATTGGACATTCAGATTTCTTTTTTTGAGAATTGCAGTTCAATTTCTCTGCCTATTTTTTCTATGGAGGAATTTATTGTTGTTTTTTAAAGATTTTATTTATTTATTCATTTTTAGAGAGGGGGGAAGGGAAGGAGAAAGAAAGGGAGAGAAACGTCAAAGTGTGGTTGCCTCTTGCACGTCTTCCACTGGGGACCCAGCCCACAACCCAGGCATGTGCCCTGACTAGGAATCAAACTGGAGACCCCTTGGTTCAAAGGCCAGTGCTCAATCCACTGAGCCACACCAGCCAGGGCAAGGAATTTTTTTTTATGTGGTTAGGATTATCAAACAATCTCCATCAAAAACCACTGCCTGTTTAATAAATGAAAATGATATTTTATTGTTATCTCAAATGTGCATTTCTTTATTAATGGGCTTGAACATTTTCTCATACTTGCTCATTTGATTCATTTTGTCTATTGTCAGTCCTTAGTTCATCCTGTTTTCTCCTTTTCCCCAGAGAGTTTTAAGCTGTGGACTAATCACCCAGTCTTTGGGATAGCCAAGATAACCTTCAGCCTGACGCTGGTGCTGGGCTTCATCTTCACCTTTTGGTTGCACCTCCTGTACATATCCGGTCTTCAGAGAGTGCCCTACTTTGGCTGGATTGGGATTTTCATGAGCTTCTGTGAAGGTGCCCCCTAGCTCTGGAAAATGTCCTTAGTTTCTCCCAGCCCACATCTTCCCAGGTGCTTCTCCCTCTTCCTTTCTTTGGGAGTGAGGTAACGGTTTTGTGGGTGGTGGCAGAACAGAACTGGTATTTGTTGACTGAAAACTGATTTCCGTAATTTCCTGGTCACTGGAGAGGTGGAGGTGAGGGGTTGATGTCCATGAACCTCTGGGGCTGTGTACTGCACGAGTGCTGGTGGGAACTGTGGTTTGCAGCTGTAGCTCAGCAGATGAGGAAAAGTCCCTGTGGGATACTTGGGTGGGCAGGACATCTCTGCTTCCTGTCTCCTAGTTGTCTTCATTTTCTCCACCCTCCTGTTGTTTCCTGTTAACGTCTGGATCTTCGAGTTGAAAAGGAATTTATCGATCCCCATTGGGTGGAGCTATTTCATTGGCTGGGTGGTGTTTATCCTATATGTCACCTGTGGTGAGTGGTCTGGAGGGGCCTGAGGAGGAGGGGACGTGGGTGGGTCAGGGCAGAGAAAGTGTGAAGAGGGCAGGGGGGTTTTAGAGACTTCTTTTTGGCCTCACCCTGCTTGCCACTTTCTTTCCACGCTCTAATTTTCACCTCCCCCAACCCCTTATCTTTTCCCAGCGGTCCTCTGCTACTTCGACAATAAAAATGTCTGCAGTCTGATTCTGAGCCATCCCTCTGGCCCTGTATCCTAGAGCAGCAGTACCAGATCAGTTTCTCTGAATGAATGGTCTCAAGCATCTTTGTCACCCAGGAAGAAGTCCTGGATCCTGAGCAAGAGAAGGGATCTCTGTAACCTTTTCTGAACTCCTGGCACCAAGTTCTGTCCATTCATCTGAATTGCCCTCCTCATTCTTCCCCACAACCCTTAAGTTATTTGGCCCTCCTTACTGCAAATAATTAGAAAGGGGGGATTTTAGGCCTATTTTGCACTCCTCTTCTTTGTCTCTACTTTGCCTACAGTTTGGGTAATGTGGAATAAATTGTCTCCTATTTATCATGTCTGGCAGTTGATCAGACAAGACAACTTGAAGAAGGAGAGGAAGGGAGAAAGAACAAATTCGTTTTTGAGTTCTTTCTACCTAGGAGCCTTTAGGCACCCTTTGGTCCCCAAACCTTCCCAGCCTCTCCTGCAGTACACTTGTGCACAAACAAATACCTCTCAAGAACTAAGCCTCTTCAAACTTTATTTCCCCCGTCGCAGTATTTTTTGGTTAGTAGGTAGGGAGGAGTGATCAGGAGAGAGATATAACTTATGAATTGACATAATTTATTCACAGTGAAGAACTCAAGAGAAAAATAGCCCTTGGGTAAGAGGCAGGTTAAACAATGAGAACACTATAGGGAGCATGGTTTTACCCAAAACTTAGCAGTTTCAAATAATAAACATTTATTATCTCACATCGTTTCTGGGGTCAGGAACCTGGAAGCAGCTTAGCTGAATGATTCTTGCTCAGAGTCTCTCATGAGGTTATAGGCAAGATGTCAGCTGCGGCTGCAGTCATCTGAAAGGTTAAATGAGTCTGGAAGATCTCCTTCCAATATGATTTGCTCGTGTGGCTTTTGGCAGGAAGCCTCAGTTCCTTGCCACAGGGCCTCTTCACAGGCTGCTTGAGAGTTCAGAGCCAACTTTCCACGCAGTGAGCAGTCTAAGTGAGGAAACTCCAGTGACTTTTATGACCTAGTCTTGGAAGAAATATGCTGTCACTTCTACCATATTTTACTTGTTAGGAGCAAGTCACTAAGTTCATCTGCCACTTAAAGGAAGGGGCAATAAGCTTTACCTCTCTAAGGGAATAATATCAAGAACTGTCACAGTCTGCCTCTGGTCACAAATTATTTACTTTCCTCCCACATGAAAAATACACTTATCTTTCCCAAGGGCCCCAAAGTCTCCTCTCATCTCATCAATGAGCAGAAAGTTCAGAATCTTGCCGTGTTGTGAACTGGGGAGTGCGACCCCTTAGGGAGTCTTTAGGATTATTCTACCAAGGCTGTAGAAATTACACTCGGGGAGGTATGTGAAATTAGAGGATTTATTCACAGGTCCTGGAAGAGGGAGGTCTGGCACACGGGGCCACAGGGAGGAGTGCCGAGGGAGTGGGCTCAACCAAGCAGATGGAGAGCCAAGAGAATGAGGACCCATGTGAAAGTCCTTTTACCGGGTCAGGGTGGAGAACACAAGCAAGAGGCATAAGAGAATTTTGTTGGCGTACTTGAATGTCAAGAGGTCACAGTCAGCAGATGGCAAGAAGAGAACCTGTTGCAGGAACTGGCCTTATCACACTGCTGCACCTGGTCACCTAGTGGGGTGTTCACAGCCTGTTTTGGGGGATGCTGAAACATCAGGAAAATACAACGTTTACCAAATATATAATACACTTGCTGCCTGTTATGGGCCAAATTGTGTCTGCCCCCACCCAAATTCATATGTTGAAGCCCTAATCCCTGGTACCCCAGAATGTGACTGTATTTGTGATAATTAAGTTAAAATGAGGCTATTAGGGTGGGCTCTAATCCAATCTGACTGACACCCTTTATAAGAAGGGGGTACGAGGAACACAAAGAGACAGCAGGGATGAGTGTGCACTGAGGAAAGACCATGTGAGGACACAGTGAAAAGGTGGCCATCTGTAAACCAAGTAGCAAGGTCTCAGAAGAAACCAAACCTCTCTACGCCTTGATCTTGGACTTCTAGCCTCCAGAACTGTGAGAAAATAAATTTCTGTTGCTTAAACCACCCAGTTTGTGGTATTTTGTATGGCACCCAGGGCAAACTAATATACCATCTAAATTAGACCCAGGTGCAGATGAGACTCTGTGGATATAATTTCTTAAGTTGGTGTATATAATTTCTCCTCTCAATCTGAATTCCTGTGTCTTAAAGAGACAAGTAACCACTGCCTACATATCAACACAATGGCGGGACAGTCAAAAGATAACCATTATAGACATTGCTGATTAAAAAGGGGGTTACTGTGTGGTATGCCCAAGTCACGGGTCCATAGCAGTTCTCAAATCCAGCGGGGGAATGTGGCAATTTCCTTCATTAGGACTCAGTCTGATTTCTGTCCAGGAATGAGTCTCTGTGGATAATTTTTTTAAAGGTATAATTAACATACCATAAAATTTGCCATTTTTAATTACACAATTCAGGGGTTTAGTATATTTACTAAATATACTACAGCCATTGCTGCTATGCAATTTTCAGAACATTTCCATCATTATCACTCCCTATTCCCTTCAACCTCTGGCAACCACTAATCTACTTTTCTCTCCTTGAATTTGCCTGTTCTCAACATGTCATATAAATAGAATTATACAATATGTGGCCTTTTGTGAGTCTGGCTTGTTTTGCTTAGTATAAGGATTCCATGATTCATTCACATCATAAAATGTGTCAGTGCTTCATTCCTTTTTAATTTTTAAATTTTTTCCAGATTTATACTTTATTGTACAAATTGAATATCACATGGTGAGTTGACATTAGCTTCTCTGGGCATAGGAAGTTAACAGATAAGATACAGTTTAGAATCCTTTTCCATTGCTTTCACAGCTGGATTTTTTTAGACATTAACTTGAAGTATGAAATGAGCAAAGCAATGCTTCCATATGTGGCTAGTACACAACTCATTCTACCTATGAGAGTGTAAGAGTTGAGATATTTTCTGATACCAGGGAATTGGAACTGGGCATCAGTTCCTGGACCTGCTATGACTTCAGTCTTGCAAAAAACACGAATTCTGCAGGCAGTGTTCTTAAATGCACAGAGCTGCCCCTCAGTCCCCATCCCTTTCAATGGCTGGATAAATGTTACAGGGTATGGTTATGCCATACTTTGTATATCTGTTTATAAATTGATGGAAATTTTGGTTGTTTCCACTTTTTGGCTATTATGAATAATGTTGCTGTGAACAAGTTTTCATACAAAAGTCTTCAGTTCTTTAGAGTGTATAACTAGGAGTGGAATTATTGATTCACATGTTAACTCTATGTTTAACTTCTTGAGAAACTTTCAGACTGTTTTCCTTTTTTAAAAAAAGATTTTGTTTATTTTTAGAGAGAGAGGAAGGGAGGGAAAAAGAGAGGGAGAGAAACATCAATGTGTGATTGCCTCTTGCATGCCCCCTACTGGGAGTCTGGTGCACAACCCTGGCATGTGCCCTGACTGGGAGTCGAACCTGTGACCCTTTGGTTCACAGGCTGGTGCTTAATCCACTGAACCACACCAGTCAGGGAGCCAGACTGCTTTCAAAGCAACTGTCCCATTTTATATTCCCATTAGTAATTCAGGAGGATTCAAGTTTCTCCACATTCTTGCCACACATGTTATTGTACATTTTTTAACTCCATATGTCTTAGTAAGTGTGAAGTCATATCTCCAAGTGATTTTGATTTGCATTTTCCTGATGCATTTCCCCAAGATGTAATCTCTTGTTCTCATTGACAATTTGTACATTCTCCATGGCTCTTCCTGGTATGCTTTTGGTTCTACCTTCTGAACATCCTTCTTTTCTGTGAAAGGCAGCCCATTTTTACAGCTATGCAGTTTCCTCAACCTACTTCCCGCTAGTAGAATTTTGGGGTCCAAAGTGCTCTTTTCCTTTTGTGCCGTCTCTACCATTTTCAGACTAAGCTGGTGGTGTCTCCACAACACAATTCTGTCATTGTGTAGTTTACTGTGAATCTTATTGAGATTCACTCCATTAGAAAAAAATGGCTTCTAGGCAGAAAAATAGGGTTATTAGTAGGAGAGCATCTTAGCTGGTTAGTTCTGGCTCAGCATCTCTCACGAAGCTGTATGCAAAGTGTTGGCTGGAGTTGCACTCGTCTGAAGGCTTGATTAGGGCTGGAGGATCTCCCACCTAGATGACTCACGCTAAATTTATAGACATGTTGACAAAGGATTGTCCAGCATTTGGTCATTCTCATGACATAGCAACCAAGAGCAAGCAATCTGTGAGAAAGCAATGAGGATGCTGAAATGACTTTTATGATCTGGTCTCAAAGTCACACGCTGTTACTTCCACCAGATGTTTTGTTAGAAATGAGTCATGAACTCCGGCTCACATTCAAGAGGAAGGTAATTAAACTCCAACTTTTATTTATTGATTTGAGATAGGGAGGGAGGGAGGGAGAGAGAGAGAGAGAGAGAGAGAGAGAGAGAGAGAGAGGGAGGGAGAGATCAGGTTGATGTTCCACTTATTTACGAGTTCATTGGTTGATTCTTATACAGCATATGTGCCCTGACCAGGGATCAAACCTGCAATGTTAGTGCATCAGGACGATGCTCTAACCAACTGAGCTACCTGGCCAGGGTTCAGCTCCATCCCTTGGAGGGGGAGCATTAACAAATTTGTGAACATATTACCATTACACTTGAGTACAAGAAATATTTTGCAACAGGACAGCATGATTGGAAATGGCAAGTAACAAGGCTCTATTTCAGTGTATGCACATTTGTCATTTATTTGCTGGCTCATCTGGTTGGCTTGGGGCAGCCCCTATACCTCAGTTCTGCCAGTTCCTGCCAAATTTCCCTTCAACCCCTCTAATTCCTGGGTGAATTTTATGTTCAGTTCAATGATGCAAGGCACAAGCTTCTCCTACAGGGTACTCCCATCATCAAAGTTGGAGGCTGGAAGCAGTGAGAAACCAACACATGTGGCAGTCCATCCTCAGAAGTTCTGGCTCAGCTTTGAACGTTTCAATTAATTTTTAATTTGAGGTTTTTTTATTTATGCTTGTATTTTTCAGTTCTAAAATTTCTGTTTAGTGATTCTGTAAATCTTCTGT